CCACATGATACTGGGACATTTGGCAAAGCCGGGGACTCTCTAAATGGATTCTGTGTGTATTCTTAGAAAGACAATCGTCAAAGTGATTTTGGCTGAGAAAATGGAAGCAGCAAGTGACAACACACCAAAGTTTTAGTTTACTCAATGCTACCTTTTTCCCATGTATTGAATAGTAAATGTATTGTGAAACACGTACTAGAAAATGATGTGCATTACTCTAGCACTCATGTTTATATTTTCTAAATAGACACCTTTTTATGCTTGTCATCTGACCATGAAATATAGTTCCTTTTTAGGTAGAGTTTTAGTTTTTCAAATATCAGAATATTTTATAAGTTGTTCCCCTTTGTTGGAAATTTCACAAAACTGTTTACACTGTGGTTTAAGTGTGTGGTGTTGTGTATGTGCATCATATATTGCTCTGGTTATTCAGGGAAGTAAATTTCTTCAGGTCCATTCTGATCTTTGCTTCACACATTAGCAAAGAACAGGTTTCAAACCTTGATCAACTGCTGAGAAATACTTTTAAATGGGCATTAGAAACAGTACTAAAATTGTTGAAAATGAGTTTTGATATATTCAGACACCACACTATTTATTGCAGAATAAAAAAATACCATATATATCTGTATATATCTAAAACTCACGTTCCTCGCTATACTGTTTGACATGTTCATATAGCTCATAGTGACATTTTATAACATTAATGACCACACAAAATTTAAGTAACACATTTCATTATGTTAGACTATTCTCTTATATTATCACCTTGATTTACACCCTGCACATATACAGTGAGGGAAAAACGCATTTGATTCCCTGCTGATTTTGAACATTTGTCCACTGACAAAGAAATGATCAGTCTATAATTTTAATGGTAGGTGTATTTTAACAGTGAGAGACAGAATAACAACAAAAAAAAAAACCTGGAAAAACGCATGTCAAAAAGGTTATAAATTGATTTGCATGTCAATGAGTGAAATAAGTATTTGATCCCCTATCAATCAGCAAGATTTCTAGCTCCCAGGTGTCTTTTTATAGGTAGTCAGCTGATTTGGAGCTGAGGAAAGAGAGTGCTCCCAATCTCAGCTCGTTACCTGTATAAAAGACACCTGTCCACAAAAGCAATCAGTCAATCAGATTCCAAACCCTCCACCATGGCCAAGACCAAAGAGCTGCCCAAGGATGTCAGAGACAAGATTATAGACCTACACAAGGCTGGAATGGGCTACAAGACCATCACTAAGCAGCTTGGTGAGAAGGTGACAACAGCTGGTGCGATTATTCGCAAATGGAAGAAACACAAAATAACTGTCAGTCTCCCTCGATCTGGTGCTCCATGCAAGATCTCACCTCGTGGCGTTTCAATGATTATGTGAATGGTGAGGAATCAGCCCAAAACTACATCTTGTGATCTCAAGGCAGGTGGGACCATAGTCATCAAGAAAACAATTGGTAACACACTAAGCCTAGAAGGACTGAAATCCTCCAGAACCCTCAAGGTCCCCCTGATCAAGAAAGTACATGTACAGGCCGGTCTGAAGTTTGCCAATGAACATCTGAATGATTCAGAGGAGAACTGAGTGAAAGTGTTGTGATCAAATGAGACCAAAATCGAGCTCTTTGGCATCAACTAAACTCAACGTGTTTGGAGGAGGAATGCTGCCTGTGACAAAAGCCATTTCGCTACTGGGTTTTGGAGGGGACTACTTGCCAGCCTTTTACCCTGTGACTATGGCCCCTTTAATTTATTTTGGCTGAGAGACCCTAATTGTGCCTATTGGCACTTTAAACATAGGTTCTTCGAACTCCGAACAGTCGAAATGGCCGCCATTCAACATTCGAACACGTGGTGGTGGCCATCTTGTTCGCATGGACTAAAACCGCGAATAGACTTCAGGGTGACTTAGCCACGAATGCCCTGGAACTATTTTCGGCATGAAAACCTCACGGTTCCCGGTCGGTCCTCCAGCAGCACTTAGCCGCAAATCTATTGAACTGTTTTTGGCATGAAATCCTGGGTTCGCCTGGGCAAAAATATGACTTCCATAAAATTTCTGAACCCCTGATCTGGGTGATTTTTGGATATGTTGTTCACCCAGATCAGAGCTATCAGAGGATGTAACATGTGTTGTGTTTTGGGGTACTTATGTTACTTTATAAAAATATGTTTTTTTTCTGCCTGGGGATAATTAAGTTATTGCATTAACTACCTTAATTATATCACAGGCAGAGGGGAGGGATTTTTTACTGTAAGTTGGAGTGTCGTTCATTGTTACATTGTTTTTATTGGTCTGTACATTTTGTAATACAGTGCCCCATCAGGTCCAGGGGGTGTTCCCCTGGCCTGAGGAATTGTATATAAATCCAACCTGTATCAATAAACCTTCAGACCTTTTCACCCTCAATACTGAGTTCTGTCTCTTATTGTAGGGAGCTGCTATATCACTACCAGGGAATTGCTATACTTGTTATACTCCCATGGATAATCACTAGCTCTTGTAAGAGCTGTTCCTGTTACGCTCTCCAGGAGGAGAGATCTTTCCCACACAAGGTCCTGGATGTCAGCGGTTGGTCCATGGTGGGAGGAAGACGGTGAGATTCCAGTTAAGCTATGGTGGTTGCGGAGTCTGCGGTGCTTATGGTGTCCAGTGCGGTGCTTATAGTCCTCGGCATCTGCTAGGAAGCATCCGTTGACGGAGGTGCCCAGTCGTGGTGCCAGGTTGTCCGTTACACTGCCTATGACCCCAAGAACACCATCCCCACCGTCAAACTAGGAGGTGGAAACCTTATGCTTTGGGGTGTTTTTCTGCTAAGGGGACAGGACAACTCCACCGCATCAAATGGACGGGGCCATGTACCATCAAATCTTGGGTAGAACCTCCTTCTCTCAGCCAGGGCATTAAAAATGGGTTGTGGATAGGTATTCCAGAATGGTAATGACTCAAAACACACAGCCAAGGCAGCAAAGGAATGGCTCAAGAAGAAACACATTAAGGTCCTGGAGTGGCCTAGCCAGCCTCCAGACCTTAATCCCATAGAAAATCTGTGGAGGGAACTTGAGTTGCCAAATGTCAGCCTCCAAACCTTAATGACGGATCTTCAATGAGGAGTGGGATAAAATCCCTCTTGAGATGTGTGCAAATCTGGTGGCCAACTACAAGAAACATCTGACCTCTGTAATTTCCAACAAGGGTTTTGCCACCAAGTACTAAGTTAAAAGGGTCAAATACTTATTTCACTCATTGACATGCAAATCAATTTATAACTTTTTTGACTTGCATTTTTCTGGATTGTTATTTTCTTTGTTATTCTGTCTCTCACTGTTAAAATACACCTACCATTAAATTATAGACTGATCATTTCAATGTCAGAGGGGACAAACCTTCAAAATCAGCAGGGGATCACATACTTTTTTCCTCGCTGTAATTCCCTTTATATTACTCTCCCTTTTACACTGATTTTGTTCTCCCTTATCTTGTACAAAAATAGAACTCAGTTCTTTGTTAATGAGGTAATTCAAACATATTTTAAAGACCCCCCCTTCCTCATCCTTTCTTACACTATGACCTAGGAAGCTTATAAACGGGTCATTTAAGATTCCATAATTAAAAAAGAAGTTTGATTTAAAAAAAAACAAAAGAAATATCCATCTCCAACATATTGGTAGAATTTTACTAATGTCACAATTTAACAACAAAAATGTGGAACATTTTTCTATTTCAGTACTGTATTTAGACATAAAAAATGCTCTACTCTATTAGACTTTCTAGGAATTCTATGGTCCTCAGACTTTTCAAAGCATTTTCATCTTTATTTCCCTCTGTTGTAAAACACTTAGATAACTGATAATAAAACATGAGTGTTGCTCCACATCTCCTGATTGGATCAATCTTCTATAAAAATTTAAAATAATCTTGTCCATAGCACCCTTGCCATCACTCTTAAACATTTCATAGAACCTTGGCCAATCAGGGAGACCTACTTTTTACTAATCTTTTATTGAGGATCTGGGTTTATGAACATCTCTGTCTTTTCGTAAACTACCTTCATAGGCCTTTATCAGTATGAAAAGATGAACAGTACAAGTTACAGTTCACTGTAGTGGTTCTGGTGCCAGAAGGCCACTGGCATCCCTCCATTGCAAAGAGTAAAATCATTTTAGAATAATTTGACTTCTTACCAGGGGACCATCAGGCAGGGGAGTGTACCTAGAGCATTTGGCACCCGGGGCGGATCCTGTGCTTGGCACCCCCCACCCCCCCCCCACCCAAAAAAAAAAAACCTGTAAAAAATGTTAAAGGTTTTATTTCTTTTTTTTTTACAATTTGTAAACTTTGCAAAACCGCTGTCAGCCCCTCCTACAAAACCCTTGTCCTGCCCCGCCCCTCCTACAAAACCTCTGTCCTGCCCCTTCTACAAATCCTGTACTGCCCCGTCTACAAAACCCCCGCAACCCCCTTCCACAAATCCCCTGCTTATCCCCCTTATAAAGACTCCTGTCCCAATACAAAACCCCCGCCCCCTTCTACAAAATCCCTGCAACCCCACACACACATTTACAGGCAGACAGTCACACACTCAGTTACAGACAGTCACACACTGTTACAGGCAGACAGTCACACACAGTCACAGGCAGACAGTCACACATACACATTTCCTCTGTGCGGCCAGTTTATCAGCTGTTTGCTTGTGTGAGCTGTATGGCACCCTAACTACCATGGGACACTGTGCGGCCACAGCTCACACAGCCCCCTCCAGCTAGGGCCGGTGCAAGGATTTTTGCCGCCCTAGGCAAAAGTAAAGTTTGCCGCCCCCACATGTGACATCACAATGCCCCACCCATATGATCTGCCATGTTAACTAACACCAGTGCTGCGGTGTTTGCATTAAAAGGCCTGCAGGGACAGGCTAGACACCAGAACCACTACATTAAGCTGCAGTGGTTCTGGGGACTATAGTGTCCCTTTAATGTGAGGTAAATTAGAGATTAGTGCCACGAATAATATACTAGATTACCTACTTACAAGCAGATGAGGATGATGATGGGCTCTAGCTGCAATCTGGCTCCACTGGTCTGGTGTAGAACAGGATCTCTGGAGGCTGTTTGTAACTGTGGTCACAAAATCAATGTTCTGGGAGAACGGGAAGCAGCTCCATTTTTGGGGGGGCCCTTTACACAGCTCAAGGTCTGGGTCCCAGGGTCCACCAATGAGTTTGTTCACAGGGGGTGGAGTGTGTAAGGGATGTCCTGATATGTGTGTAAGGAATGCATTGTGTGAAATTGTTCCCCCCTCCTAATTTCTCTTCCCCCCCTCCTAATTTCTCTTTCTCACCCCCTCCTAATTTCTCTCCCCCCCTATTTTCTCTTTCCCCCCTCCTAATATCTCTTCCCCCTCCTAATTTCAATTTCTCTCCCCCCCTCCTAATTTCTCCCCCTCCTAATTTCTCCACTGGAACTTTCTCTTCCCCTCCTAATATCTCTTCCCCCCCCCTCCTTTTCTCTCTCACCCTCTTTCTCACCCCTCCTTTCTCTTTCTCACATCCCCCCCCTCCTTTCTCTTTCTCACCCCCTCCTTTCTCTTTCTCACCCCCCCTCCTTTCTCTTTCTCACCCCTTTTCTCTTTCTCACCCCTCTCTCTTTTTCTCACCCTCTATGCTTTCTCACCCCTCCTTTCTCTCACCCCCTTCTCCTCTTTCTCACCCCCTCCTTTCTCTTTCTGCTTGCCTCCTTTCTCTCACCCGGCACCCGCCCTCTTTTCTCACCCTCCGCTCCTCCTCTTTCTCACCCCTCATTTCTCACCCCTTTTCCTCTTTCCTCACCCCTCTTTCTCCGCCCCTCCGCTTTCTCCTCACCCCTCTTTACATCCTCTTTCTCACTTCCCTCATTTCTCATCCCCTCCTTTCTCACCCCTTTTCCTCTCTTTCTCATCCCCTCATTTTCTCACGCCCCCTTTCTCCTCTTTCTCACCCCCACCTTTCTCTCCCCTCCCCCTACCTTTGCTGTAGCGTGGCCGAGCCCAGTATAGTCCGCGGGTACAGAGAGCAGCTGTCTCCTGTACCTGGCCGGACTAACAGGAAGTGAACACTTCCTGTTAGTCCGGCCGGGTACAGGAGACAGCTGCTCTCTGTACCCGCGGACCATCAATGCTGCAGGGCTCGGCCACACTACAGTGAGGGAGTGACAGGAGGGAGCGCTCAGCGCTTCCCTCCTGTCAGCCCCCTTTCTCAGGCTGCGCCCGGGAGGTGCGGTCCGCCCTTATGGACGCACCGCCCGGGCAAAGCTGCAGCCGCCTGAGGCTCTCTATAGAGCGCTCGGGCGGCTACAGCATGGGGGGGGGCGGCGGGGCTGGTCATGGCACCCCCCACCCTGGTGGCACCCGGGGCGGACTGCCCCCTCCGCCCCCCCCTTAGTACGCCACTGCCACCAGGTACCACTCACAGCCTTCACCACTTTATGTGGATAGCCAGAAGCCAGACCTTATGCCCTGCAGAGTTAATGCACTCCTGGCAGCATAACTATAGGGTCAGCTATACACACCTCTTTTTGTATGTATTAAATAATTAGGAGTAGTCCTTGTGAGTGAAAGCATTCACCGATATTACTAGATAGTCCACCTTTGTTTTTCACTGTCAGCATAACTAATACAGAGCACCAGAGAGATTACATTGCTTGGAGTGTTACTTTTTAGAAGACAGTAGGTATTTTAATGGAGAAAGTAAAACCACAATACAATTGTTGCTATGTTTTAGTGCGAAAGAACCTATGAATAGTGTAGTGTAAGTAAAAGAAATGTACAAGTCAACATAATCAACCAACAAAAGAAGATACAATATTCAACCACAACTGCAAATTAACACTAACAAATATACCACAAAGCACATATAGAAACAGAAATGCTTTCATAGTTCATAGTTTCATGGTACATATACATGTGCAATAAACATGCTCTAATATAATGCTATAACAGAACTATTGTGTTGTTTTAATCTGATTGACCCATTTGAAAGCTGTGCCATGGAAAATATTTAATACTGGTACTGTCAAAATGTGACCCATATTATTCATGAGTAGAGCATGCACCAGACTGACTAAACAACCCAACTCTCTTTATTGTGAGTCATCCTGCATTAAAGAGCACCTGCAGTAGAACCAATGTGGCATATCAGCACTACAATCATTCAGTCAACGGACCGCTGAAAGTTTCTGAAAATACTTTGTCAGATTGTCAGTGAACTTCACAAACTTCGGCCAAAGACGAAACTAGAAATCACCAGGCCCCAGTGCAAAAATAGCCCTGGGGCCCCTCCATGTGTCTCATTCCCTCCCCAAAATCACCAGGCCCCAGTGCAAAAATAGCCCTGGGGACACCTCCATGTGTCTCAAGCCCCTCCCCAACTCCTCCACGTGTCTCATTCCCCCCCAGCCCCTCCACATATCTCGTTTGCCCTCAGTCCCTCCACATGTCTTGTTATCTGTTATGATAGAAACATTTAAATATATAAAGGGAATCAACACAGTAAAGGAGGAGACTATATTTAAAAGAAGAAAAACTACCACAACAAGAGGACATAGTCTTAAATTAGAGGGACAAAGGTTTAAAAATAATATCAGGAAGTATTACTTTACTGAGAGGGTAGTGGATGCATGGAATAGCCTTCCAGCTGAAGTGGTAGAGGTTAACACAGTAAATGAGTTTAAGCATGCGTGGGATAGGCATAAGGCTATCCTAACTATAAGATAAGGCTAGGGACTAATGAAAGTATTTAGAAAATTGGGCAGACTAGATGGGCCGAATGGTTCTTATCTGCCGTCACATTCTATGTTTCTATGTTTTTATGTTTCTATCTCCTCCCAGTCCTCCACATGTCTCCCCCCATGTGTCTTATTCACCCCCCAGGCCCTCCATGTGACTCTCCCCCATCTTCCCTGTTTGTCTCATTCCCTCCCCAACCCATCTACGTGTCTCATTCCCTCCACAGCCCTCTATGAGTCTCATTCTCCCACCCAGTCCCTCCATGAGTCTCTTCTCCCTCAGTCACTACTTGTGTCTGTCCAACCCCTCCATGTGTCTCTCCCAACCCCCACCAGTCTTGTGTATAAACGATCACCATAATTGCAAATCAAATTAATATATTGCAAATTAATTTAGGTATAACTACAGTCAGACAGCCACAGCGCCGTGGCACAGTCAATGCAAACCTCTGAATGATGAATACAGAGACTAGCTCTCTGTATCCAGCGCTGCAAATTTGCTCTTCAATATAACTACTTCTCCTTATCCACACGCACTATGCAAACCCTACTTTTTTTATTATGTGTGCTAATTTTTGCCTAGTGTTTGAGTTTTTCCTAAAGCCTCACAAAGTCTAGAGTCACCACTGCTCCCAAACAGCCACTCCATCCTTCAGGTACATACAAATTACTTTATTCCCACTGCCCTTTGTGCATGTGTCCCTCTTCCCTTTAGATTGTAAGCTCACGTGGGCAGAGCCATCTTCACCTACTGTTCCTGTATATCAAACATGTCTTGTTACAATTAAATGTTTGCTTTGGTTACTTATTGTACTGCACTGCAGCAATATGTTGGCACTATACATACAATGCTATGATAATGCTGCCTGTTTCCATTTATATAATATTAAAAAAACAACTTAAAATTAGTATATGTATTTTCCCTTGTGCCAAATCCGACCTACAAGCTAAATGATATACTGAACAAACATGATCAGAACTTCACTCAGTTAAGTTTTGCGGGAATTTTTGCAAATGCAAGCTGGAAAGATGCAATGATTCCCCCATGGATTCCTGTTATCTCCTTCATTAGCAAATAACTGTTGTCAGTTTACAATATTCCCTTTGCAGCTGGGTTCCCAAGCAAATTGCTAAACAACATGTGTATATTGCATTACATTTTGAAAGGGCTATAACAGGAAGACTAGAAGGTTTTTCAGGATAAATTTGCTGGTATTATTTCTATCTGAGAAATCAAATATCCCATGAGAAAGCACAGACTCAAAATAAAATTTCAAAGCGCTCTAACATTTTCCATTCTCACTTCTGGATTTGCTGAGTGTCCTTTCTTCTTGCTGCTTCCAAATGTACTGCTGTTGGAAGAGAAAATGTATGTACCCATGTATAAAGGTACCGGGGAATGTGCAGTGAACTCATGTGACCCCCTCCCACCCCATAACCCAATAAACATGAAAACTTAACTGGTGAAAACAAAACACAGCTTTATTATAACATTATTTCACCAATAAAATGTTAATAATAACAACTCAATATATTAAAGTAATATATTTAACTTTCTAACTTAACAGCAACACAACTGTCCTTGCCAACCTATTTCATGTGTAACCAAACATACTTGGCAGCTTGCCCTCCCCCCCTTGTCCCAGCTAATACTGGCCTCAATAGCTGCATTTCCATTAACACCATCCTAACCACCAGCCAGTTTTGGCTCAGTGGGCACGTCCGTAAAACCATTAGCTTTGTTTATCAGAGGCTAGGAGAGGGATCAGCCACAATCTTCCTTCATTATCCATTGGACTCCTAGTCAACTCCTGATTGGCAAGGATAATCCCTGCCTGTTGTCACAAGAAAATAAGTTAAAACAAACCAACAGACACCGGATAAGACCACCGAAAGGGCGGGAGGGAGGGGAAAAGATTTCTAGCTGATTATAAAATGGCTGAGGGCTACAGAGGAAATGGCTCCCTATTTATACTACTCCTCCCGTATTACCTGGACCACCCCTAGCGCCACAGATTCACCCCTATTAGCTCTACTACACTCCCCCCCCCCACACACACTCACACATTTTTTTACCTATTTTGCAAGAGTGAAGAATATTATTTTGTTATATTGTAATTTGCATTTCCTCTATGGAGAATACTTGCTTTATTATTATTATATAGACACTATTATGGTTTCTGCATTGTAAAATTAACAGTTGGCATGTGTGATATACTAATCGTGGTAGAATTAAGCAGGCAGTGTACTAGTTATTTTACTCCCTCCTCATTCTAAATATATACATATGTTTATTTACAGCATACAATGAATTACGAGAGGGTAATTGTGTTTAAGTGTGCAAGCAAATCACTGACCCCATTCTCCATTGTGGTGTTCTTCTGCAGAGGGCATTATGTTTGTTCATCTTTCTATATATTCATTTAACTTTTTTTTTTTTTTTTACT